GATATTGCTCAATAGTTAAATATCTTGCCATAACTTAAGACTTACCAAAAACATAATTAAATGTGTATTGTGTTTATAAACCCACGTGTTTTTTTCTCTGATCACTATTACTCTCAACACAATGCTGAGTGTAAACTGGCAATAACATAACATACCTACATACATGCTTTTTGCCCATACATCACAGTGCCATAAAGTCTATATTTTTATTATTACACATAAACGAAGTAAACTTAGAAAGATCACACGTACGATGTATTTGTATTGTAAGCATGAAGCAGATGAATGTAACACGAACACAACAGATAATTTTCACGCATCAAGTGTACACAGCACCCGCGTAAATACAGTATATATGAAATCATTGGTGTTTATTAACAAAATACCTGAAAAATCAAACTTCATGACAGTCGGAGAAGGCGACACGAACATGGCCCTAAAATATACCAAGTAGGCTGAAACTAGTGTGAATATTGTTCATACGGTGAAATTAGATGCATCAACATGATCCCAACACTAATCATTTCTGCACATTCACCCAAAGTATACATGTACTAAATGTGATCAAAATTCACTTAGATTCGATGTGATTTTCCTTAGTCTGAAATAGTATAATGCAAATTGTCTACTCACTATGCAAAAACATGGATCCACAACTAATTACGAGTATTTAACACACATAATCTTCCCTGTGTGCTGCACATACACGGGAGGTGATTACATCCGCATTCTAATACTGTAACAGTTTACTGCTTGTTTGTATATATATATATGTATATGGTGTGGCAGCCTTATATATATACATCCAAGTAAACAACCAGAAAAATTATCACAATGTTACAGCATGGTCAGATACGGCGGCACGAAATTTCGCATGGGGGCGAGATTTGCTCACCATCCCTTGCGTTCCATAGTCTCAAAGGGTCGCCGATGCCGCCGCCACTGATGGTATGATAACAATGTCTGCAAGCATTTGAAAAACACATTGTTTTAACTCAATATTTAAAGGGCGGCAGTCGTCGTGCCATGTCCTGTTCGACATGGGACCCATAGCAACGTATACAACGCGTGTAAAATACATACATGAAATTCGAACACGCGCTATGCGACGACCACCGCGCTTTAAGGATAACACAATTATTGTATTATCTCCTGTACATCATTTATTATTCACCTTTTCAGATAATATCGACATAAAAAATGTCAGAAAGGTAACATGTAAGGCAATTGGAAATGATGGTCTATCAAATATTTTCGTTAGAACTGTGCAGACGAACTATCAAGCCCACTAGTTTTCCGCTTTACCTGATCATTTTTTCTGCACACTGGAAATCTTTCACACGTCATCATCACACTCTTAAATGAGGTTATCATTAAGACATTTTTATTTTCCTCAAAACACATTTTCCTAAACTATGATAATGTATCATTCATATAACAAACACGATTAGTGCATTGTTCAGTAATGCGGTAACGCGACTGATTGCCCATATCTACCTCTGATAAGTAAAGCCGAATATAAAACACTTCATTCTCTGCAGTAGGTAGTACATACATTTGATTATGTGCATGTTTGATTCAAGTTTAATTTTATTGATGTATTTTTATTATTACAATCAGAAAGATCACTGATTTGAATCAGGATGTTTCACTTCACAGAATCAATCACTTTTAGATTATCATCATTGGAAATAAATTTTACGGGGCATTACTATCTTCATGTAACTATGTATTGATTTCTCCCAAACACAGACACTCAGCTCATTCTCTTACACTTCTGCTTCTGCAGATTTGGGATATTGGGAACTGGGTTAGATTCAATAATTTCAAACTTGGTATTTCTGTCATGAATTAGTTTTCGCGTATCTGTTGCGACTTCTTTAGCTGATTACTAGTGAATGGCTGTGTTAGATCTGTCATCATTTAGGCTCATGCGAGGTCCTGGACGGAACTTGACTCAGTGATTTGGAACTAATTACGATATAACCGTCGCTGTCCGGACCGCTATTTCTGACAGTTGGTATTCGCAGTTAGTAATATTGAACGATTAATCAAAAGATATGAGTGTCCAGTACTTAGTTTGATTGGCTATGTGCAAGCTGAATGTGTGAAGGTTACGCCTTAGAGTCTTTTAACTTCTTTGTAATTGGTTAAGGTTTTGAAAGTGAATAAAGAAGTTTTAGTTGGTCTTGGTGAGAACACCACGAAAGACGCAGTCTTTGGTCAGCCTTGCGATAGTCTTGGGGACTTTTCCCCAGGGCACTGTGTCTTATAGGGTACTCGACTGACCGACTAAAGACGAAAGTTGATACGTATTTCGTTGTGTGCGTCTATTTGACTGTAAGGCTTAAGTGACTTTCCCAGTCCGGTACCTCAAGCAGACATATATAAAGACAGACCCCCAGACCAGAAGTATTTCCCCGCGATACACCTATCATGTCACTTCATCCTATTGGCGATATTGTTATAATACTATTACTCATTATGGTTTGAGACACATCAATTCAGAGAACTACGCCTTATTGTAAATACACTGATAGATAATATTGTTGCCGCTATTCCTTAAAATTAATATGTGAATGTAGCTTATATATATAACTTTATTATATGCTATCATGGTTTGGATTTTAGGTGCGGATAAATTTTAAACTCGATAGTAATCGATCAACCTGATATATAGAACCTTGTAAAATGGGGGTTTCGGATAGTGATGACACTTTCACATACATGACCCCTAAAAAGAAAAAAAAATAGTGACATTCCAATAATACAGTGAAATACTTATACTATAGACTGGGAATCGATTAATCTAAATACGTTTTTAAGTAGCAACGATGGTGAATGTATCAAACTAATTTGTGTTTATCATTTCAATTGTTTTAATATATATGATAATTTGTTTTTAAATAAGAAATAAACGAAGTCAGTAAAAAGTACAAAAAAACATCAGTAACCAACTTGTTATTTTATTTTTTGTGCCAGGCGACAGTTCCGGACATTGAATGTTACTGTTGTCTCTCCTGACTGTTTTGTACCGCAAATTGCTAGTGCTGATACATAGTGCATTTTTGCCACAGAAGCCATATTCATGTTTGGGACTAATACAACCAGTATGATACGAATGAACAGTAACAAACTTGTTCATATGATTCCAAACCATATCACATAAAAGATTGATATAATTGTCTTTACTTAGTTTGTTCGAACAAATATTTAACAGATTCGCTTCATGTCATATGTTTTACTCGGAAAATTCAGTGAAAAAAATTCTGGTTTTATAATCCAAAAAAAATGAAGACAACTCCGGCAACAACATATAATCTACTGCAGCTTGCATAATAAAGTGCGTAACAGTGTGTTTATACAAACACACACCCTTGTCTTTTATTAATGATATAATAGGAGTGCACTATATTGAAACTCACCATCTACATAAACTCTCAAAGTCCGTTCACAGTAATACAATAATGAGCACTGTGGCCTCTAGACTGGCGCAGTTGGGGCGATTAATTTGTTTTTGTAGTTTAAATATAATTTCGCGAAATCATCCCGACTGCAGGAAATTAATTGCTATTAAATATTCATGAATGCACATATTATAATGAAATACGGAAATACGTGCATAATGAGGTCAACAAGGTAAAGGTCACACTGCAGACCCAACATGACGGCACGTTGCAATTCGAGTAGTTGTAGTTGTAGTCAGCCGACGTCTTCTCGGTCAGAGGTCAGTTGAAGAGACGTTGTGATTGGCTTAGATGATTGTCAATTAGAACACTCATTAACATATTTTTTTTTATTTTTTTTTATTTTCCATCTTCCACAAAGAGTATACAGATTAATACACAAGTAATGGAAATAATAAAAATTCAATTCAATAAGTTGATCAATTGCAAATGTCAGTGCATGTACTGTTACACTAGAAAATTATTCCATTTCTTCCAAACAATTCTTGTTGTGCCCTTTCTGGTTGAGAGTAGTAATTCATACTTTTTGTTGTATCTCACCTCTGCTATAGCTATGTTAAAATGTGGTATAACTTTTTATGATAAGTATAATGTGGTTGAGTAGTCTCAATGGACAAGCTCTTATCTCCCAAGATAATTTGTTGCTTGTTAACTTATTTTGAATTCTTAAGGCAGATCTCCATAAAATCTGTACTGCTTCTCACTCAACAAATAGATGAATTAATGTTTCGGGAGCATTGTGACAGAAAGTGCATACATCTGAACTTACTAATGCTGAATTCATATGAAATAACATTTCATTTGTATAAAGAATATTGTGACTTAATTTCCATTCGAAATTCTCGGAGTTTGTTGCAGATTGTAATTTTAAAGGGCAGAGAATAAATAAATGTCCAGTCAAGGTAAGCTCCATTAAACAGATTATTAAAGAAGGTCTGATTTTAGGGAGTGACAAAAAAGATTTGTTATTAATTTACGAACACTTTTTTGTGTACACTTTTCTACTACTAATAACTTCCCCTGACAGAAAATGGTATTACAAAAAGTATTTGTTGGTGTTATATGTATAGTACTGCTCTTTTTCCATTCGGCAGGAATTGCTGAGATACGACCTCTCTAAAGAAGAAACTGTGATTGGTTTATCCCCAATATCTGCAGATCACCCCAAGCCTTAATTTCTCCTTTATTATTGAAAATATCTGCAATATGGACAAAGCCTAGGTCATAAGAAACAAGGGTGAAAAATACTTTTTCCATTAATGAGAACATGCCTGTTATTCCATATGATTTCATTTGAAGGGGAAATATAGTACCTTGACCCTAACCACACCATACATCTAATAAATCTACATAAAAATGGGGCATACTAATATTGAGCGACTCCACAGAAAAATTCCATTTGAAGATAAGGTGTCCCCCAACTGTTTTTAGATAATGGTCAAAAACAAGCTTCCAAGGGTGAAAAGTATCAGAGAGATAATGCTTGATCCACATTATTTTAAAGGCTTTTCACATTGCACAAATATCCAAGATACCCAACTCCCTTGGCCTATACTATCTTTCATAGTGTTGCGTGCTATTCTGTCATGTCCATTCCAAATAAAGGAGTATATTTTAAAATTTAGAATTCGAATATCTTTGTTATGAACATTGATCAAGTTTAAAATATATAATATCTTTGGAATTACTAGAGTTTTTATAATCTGGATTTTACCAATAATGGAAAGATTACGACTTGTCCAGCAACGCAGCACACATGCAAGTCCTTTGAGTGGTGCAGTCAGGTTTTTTTCATAAGCTGTAGTTGCACTATATGAGAAAAATGCACCAACAATCTTGATAGAGGACATAGGCGACTTCACCCCAAACATCTTTTCTTGACGGAATCACCATTTTCCCGTTAACATAATTACCCGTTGAAAAATCGAAGAATTCCTGTAGTGTCGACAGAGGGCCATGCAGAATAAACTAGTCGGGGTGATTTCGCAGTCACAGTGGATTTCGCACTAACACCTCCATTTCGCGATTTTTTTTATTTTATTTAAACTACAAAAACAAATTAATCGCCCCGACTGCGCCAGTCTATGTAGCCTCGTATCTGAGTCTACAAATGTAGGTCAGGGTCATAGAGCACTCTATAGGAATACCGATGTACATTACATGAATAATATGACAGAACCCCCCCCCCCCCGTGGAATTTAGGTTGAGGAACCCCATTGCCCATTAATATGTTCCAGCAACGCTGGTGCAAAACGCGGATCACTGTCTGTATGAAAAGAATCAGACGTCTAATCTGAGTCACTATCCGAATAAATGACTTTTAGTTGGGGTCACGACAGAACCAGAACTTGACGACTATGATATACTCCACTGACGAGGTGATCGACTTTCGTCGACAGCGGCCGTCGATGAGCTGCACGCTACAACTTCGTTTGTGATACTGCTTGCTGGTCGTGGATTTAATGAGTCATGGTTACCGGTTAAATGTTGCTCATTTAGTAATCTTTATTTGGAACCGAGTAACGCCGCAATCGCTGATTTTACTGCGGGCGGATCTTCCGAGAGCCCTTCAGGGTTTATAAAACCCAGTTTCCAGGTGGTAAACATACATTAAGTTCTCCCAATCGTAGATTATATATTAATTCATATAGGTTGGTCAATAGCTCTATAGAAATTCCTATAGGCGGAGTCTATAAGCTTTGTTTTGCCATGGTCACTTCGATCATTTTTTCGAAGGTATTTGAATTCCCGAATTGATAGCGTTTGCGCATTCATCGTTTGTGTGCTTGAGCATATCGCGCGACCTGGCTTCAACAAACCGTAAGTAGGACAGATTTTGAACGTACCAAACGCGTAGAGTCGCAGTGCGCCGAAAATCACAGTTTCCAACTTCAAACGTACAAAATCCACTGAAATAAAACTGCCGTCATCTTTCGTACCAGCCTCTGAAATTTGCTCACTATTCTGCCCAAGCAAGAATAACGAGTATGCAAATTATCTTTGGCTTTGGCTGTCTTAAATAGTTCTTCTAGCTACCCTCGTTTGTACCCACCCACATTCACTCCGCTGTCTTTAAATAAAACTGAAGGAGTCACCGACAGTAATTAGTACAAGTAAAACCTCATACTTCATAGATTTCCACTAGAAGAGCGCATTGGATTGTGGGAAAATCAATTTCAATCAAAACAAAAATTCGCACATGTGCGGCGCCACGACTGTCGTCCTTTAATTGAACGAACGCCACAGAGTTTCTGGCAACAACGTTTATTATTGTACGAAAAACTATGCTTTTTTTGTTCTACCACGAAAGAACATGCAACAATTAACCACGTTGTCTCAGGTTTTCAAATTATAATGAGTTGTCGGGTGAGGGCATGACGGTAATTCCACTAGTTCTTGATATTTCATAGAAATTTGACGTCGTACGCATACTGATTTCGTGGAAAAGATTATGCATTCATGTGAGGGCGCTGTTACAATGTCGTACAGACGACTTTCCCGGAAGTAGCAAAACTGGGGTGCAAAAATACTTCTGCTTTGTCACGGCGGAAAATACAAACATGTCAGATTGCTGATAGTCGATAGAAGGTAAATCTATTTTTGTGACAACAATTGATGCACCGAGAAGCATAATATCACGCATGCGAAACTCCGTATCTTCGACTTCCGGGAAAGTCGTCTATATTAACTTTAAGAGCATTGTGGTAACACAGGTGGCGCTATTCGCTATTCAGCACTATTCGGCGATCTGCGTGTCAATGCTTTAAGAGGGCACAGATATGGCTGCACAGGGCGGTACAAGCGACGTACAACAAATAGGAAAGGATTTCTTGACTTGTGGTCTCTGTCTTGACTACTACAAGAACGCCAAAACACTACCATGTCTACATTCGTACTGTGAAACATGTCTGGATAAACTGGTAGAGAAAACAGCTGAATTGATCTGTCCACAATGCCGGAAACGATTCGACTGTGATAATCAAGATAAAGCAGGTCAACTCGGTACCAATCACATGATTAACGGTCTTGTAGAGTTCGTAAAAGCTCGTAACCGCCAGTCGGATCGCGCAACCGAGGGATTGAAATGTGAAGCGTGTGACGTCACACAAGCTACCAGTAGATGCATGGACTGTCAAGTCAACTTCTGTTATGGTTGCATTCGAGTTCACTCGGTTGCAAGATCACTTCGAGGTCATCACGTAGTTTCTATTCAACAGTACCTGGAAAGTACACCTCATGTTTCCAATCATCGGCCATCATCGTTCTGTAATATCAAAGGTCACGAAATGAATGAAATACAGTTCTATTGTGATACGTGTGAAGTTTCTAATTGTCTTGCATGTACCGTAGTTGGTCATAGAGTTCCAGAACACAGACACAGAGAAGTAACTGAAGCGGCGAAAGAGTTTGCCACTAAACTGGAAGATCGGAACGAGAAATTGAGACCGAAAGAAAACGAGTCCAATATATCCTGCACACAAGCCACACAGGAAATGATTACCATACAAGAACTGTACGAACAACAAGTAACAAAAGTGAAGCAACACGTCGAACATCTTATCAAGAAAGCGAGAAGTGACGAAGAAAAGATTCTTACCATCTTAAAAAAAGAGCACGATAAGCGAAAGAAATTTCTAGAATGTGAAATTGACAGATATGAGATGTCTGAGAAGAATATCAGAAGTACTTGCAGTTTTATTGATGCGTTGATACAGTACGGTGCTGATGGCGAGATAGTCACGGAATACAAGAAAACATCGGACAGA